TTGATTATAATTTATTCTTATTAGAATTTTTGGTTAAGTTGATTATTAGTTATACAACTAATGATGCATATAAAACTTATTTTATAGACATGAGAGAATGAACTCTCTAAAAATACAAACTATTCCGTCGAAAGTGAAGAAAGATTTCCTCCTTTGTCTGATATAACAAATGGTGAGTGACAATATCATCTATTTGTTATATTTATAGTTGTGTTGTTAGAACTTACTTTAACATAATTTATTCTTATTAGAATGTTTGTCTAAGTTGATTAATAGTTATACAATTAATGATACATATATAACTCATTAGGTAGACATGCAAACAAATTATCTTCTCCCTGACTTAAACACAATTCCTATATTGCAAGGTTAGTTCCTTAGTGGTGTTCTTTATTTAAGATATTTATCATATACCTTTTTCTTGACTTATTTTATTCTTGTATTATGATCACGCCCAACTATGCCTTATAAAAATGACTAAGCGGTTGCTGCAAATATAATCTGGTTCAAGTCCGGAGTCGAATCCCACAGGGAACTAACCTATTTACTACAACTTTTAGCACTGCTAATAAATAGCTCAAACAATCCCCGGGTGCAAGATTTTTAATGGATAATGAGTAGTATTTAGTTAACTAAGGAAAAATAACAACAAAACTAGCAATAATATAGAATAGAGTTGAATTCAATAATAAATGGTCTAGGGTTATTAATTTTCCCAATTGTCGGATTAATTCCTGACACGTTTGCTATAATCTCGCCGAAACACTCTATAAAAAATATGAGTTCTGGGTTACCGCAATTATCTCTCGATCAATTACGACAATTTACTAGAAACATTCTCTCGAAGTACTCTAGCTAACAATTTATGCAACTCAGAATTATCCCACCAAAGCTTCGTTATCTCTAACCCTGCTTTTAAATTCAAGTAATTAATCTCTTAACTTACCAGAAAGTGGTGTTGTTCAACAAAAATCTAACCAAGTGTTCTTTCTCAAGCAACACAAGATAACTAGACACGATTAATCAAGGGCCCTTTCAATTAATCACAAGATAACACGTAGTTGAACAATCATAGAGTAAAAACGACTCAATTATATCAAAACAGGGTCAAGACTTCATCCAATAATTGGTTCCATCAACCCTAGATGACGGGTTTAGCTACTCATTGTGGCAATTCAACAAACACCTACTGTGCATATGCCCTCCAGTGTACCCAAAAACTCAATTAAACTTCCATCTTTCACAACTTAACAATGTCTTCCCCAACCCAACCAAATCTAATATCCTCACATACCAACATATATACCAACAATTAAAAACAAAGATAAGATTATCTGCAACTTCTACTATCTTACACTTATAATAGAAGAAAAAAAGAATGAAAAAAAAAATTTGAAAAAAACTAAAAAAAGAAAGTAGAAGCATGTTACTTACTTGAAGATCTTGTGAGGAGTGGAGTTTGGGTAGTGGTTGAGTAGAGAAGAGGGAGAAGGAGAGGAGATTTGGTGAAGTTAAAAAAAATATTAGGGAGAAGAAGGGGGAGGGGATCGCTATTTTTGGTTTGGGGAAGGGGGAGGGTTTTAGATTGTTTTTGTTAAGGGGGAGGGAAAAGAAGTGGGGGGAGTGGGTGGATGAGGAGGGGAAGGGGGGAGGGACTAAAAAAAAACTAATTAAAAAGGGAATAAGAGAAAAGAAAAAAATAAAAAAAATTATTCTAATGCACCTGAACGGCGCCCGATCCGCGGTCGGATCCGCGGTCACGTCCGCGGCCGCAGACAGAACTGATGCAAAATCCGCGGTCGATCCGCGGCCGCGGATTAAGCATCCAGATTATTTTTTGCTTTTTGCACTTTTGCCTATCTCCGGGATAATTTCGTCACCCCGAGTCCTTCCGCTACGTATACTTTCGTTCCTGCACTTTAGTAGATCAATCAATATTGTCACCGTTCAGTTACAAAAATAAGAACACAGAAAAATAATGGGTTTCCTTCCAAAAAGTGCCTAATTTAACGTCGCGGCACGACGATTTACAACAAACCATGGGTTGCCTCCCAGGAAGCGCCTGATTTAACGCCGCGGCACGACACAGACTTTCATTATGACTCTTCGCTCATGTATTAGGGATCTTCCAAAGATATCACTACTCTATCCCCCTTTTCTTCGACCATTCCAAAGTAATGTTTCAATCTTTGCCCATTCATCGTGAACTTATTTGTTCCATCTTCGGATTCAATTTCTACAGCTCCACTTGAGAATATTTGCACCACTCTGAAGGGTCCTGAGCATCGGGACTTCAATTTACCCGAAAACAATCTTAATCTCGAGTTGTATAACAACACTAAATCTCCGGGTTTGAAGTTCTGATCTAGAATATGCTTATCATGCATCATTTTCATCCTTTCTTTGTACAATCTTGCATTCTCAAATGCATGGAACTTGAATTCCTCGAGTTCATGTAACCCATTGACTCTACTGGTGCCTGCGATCTCCATATCCAAATTCAACTGCCGCAGTGCCCAAAGGGCTTTATGCTCGAGCTCTACCGGAAGGTGTCATGCTTTTCCAAACACCAACTTGTATGGTGACATACCAATTGGAGTTTTAAATGTTGTGCGGTACGCCCATAATGCATCATCCAACTTCTTTGCCCAATCAGCCCTTGTTGCATTCACTGTCTTGGTTAGGACACTTTTGATTTCCCGGTTTGACACTTCAACTTGCCCGCTTGACTGTGGGTGATAAAGGGTGGTCACCTTATGGCGAACTCCATACTTTTACAACAACCGTGCGAACTCTCTATTGCAAAAATGGTTCTACCATCACTGATTATAGCTCTCGAGGTGCCAAAGCGTGTGAAGATGTTTTTCTTTAGAAAGCCTGTCACCCCCTTTGCATCATTGGTTGGGAGAGCCACAACTTCAACCCATTTGGAGACATAGTCAACTGCCACCAGTATGTATTTGTTACCATACGAGCTGACGAATGGCCCCATAAAGTCAATCCCCCACATGTCAAATACCTCCACCTCTTGAATAGTATTCATCGGCATCTCGTGACGTCGAGATATGTTGCCTGTCCTTTGGCACTCATCGCAACTTTTCACCCAAGCATGGGCATCCTTGAATAAATTTAGCCAATACAAACCCGAGTCCAACACCTTAGCCGTTGTCTGAATTCCTCCAAAGTGTCCACCATATGGTGAAGCATGGTAAGCCTGCAAAATAGAAGGTTGATCTTTCTCGGGGATACACCTCCGGATCATGTTATCTATACATATTTTAAAAATTAGAGGTTCATCCCAATAATAAGGCCGACAATCGCAAAAGAACTTTTTCTTTTGAATTGAAGAGAGTTCATAAGGTACAATACCGCTTGCTAAATAATTAGCAATATCAGCATACCATGGTGTCTCCTCCATTGTCACTGCTAGTGTTCATCCGGAATGTCTCTGTTATATCTTCAACCTCTACCTTCTTTTCAGCTCCTTCTAACCTTGAGAGGTGGTCTGCTACTTGGTTCTCTGTCCCTTTTCTGTCACGGATCTCCAGATCGAATTCTTTTAGCAAAAGAACCCAGCGGATCAAGCGTGGCTTTGACTCCTTCTTTGCTATCAAGTACCTAATTGTTGCATGGTCAGTATAAACAATAACTTTTGAACCAATCAAGTACGACCTGAATTTGTCGAATGCAAAAACTACAACCAACATCTCTTTTTTCGTCACACTGTAATTGAGCTGTGCACCGCTTAGCGTTCTGCTTGCATAGTAAATTGGGTGCATCAACTTATCCTTTCGCTGCCCCAAGATTTCTCCTATAGCATAGTCACTTGCGTCGCACATGAGCTCGAACGGTTGCTCCCAGTTGGGTGCAGTCACCAATCTCTTCTTCAACTCCTCAAATGCCAACCTGCAATCATTAGAAAACACAAAGGGCTGATCCTTTTCAAGGAGTTTACATGAAGGGTTAGCAATCTTAGAGAAATCTTTTATGAATCGCCTGTAGAACCCGGCGTGCCCAAGGAAACTTCTCACTGCCTTGACCGAAGTGGGCGGTGTCAACTTCTCAATCACGTCAACCTTAGCATGGTCAACCTCAATTCCTTTGATGGACACTCGATGCCCTAAGACTATCCCTTCTTGTACCATAAAATGGCACTTCTCCCAATTCAACACTAAATTTGTCTCCACACATCTTCTGAGCACTCTTCTTAAATTATGAAGACAGTCCTCGAATGAATCCCCCGCCACGGAGGAATCATCCATAAATACCTCTATAATGTCTTCAACTATGTCCGTAAAAATGGCTAACATACACCGTTGGAATATAGCCGGTGCATTGCAAAGTCCAAAAGGCATTCTCCGAAAGGCAAAGATGCCATACGGACAGGTGAATGATGTTTTCTCTCTGTCTTTGGGGGCTATTGAGATCTAATTGTACCCCGAATATCCATCCAAGAAACAGAAGTGAGATCGCCCAGCCAACCTGTCCAGCATTTGGTCAATGAATGGCAAGGGAAAATGGTCCTTCCGGGTGGCTATGTTCAATTTTCGATAATCCATGCAAATCCGCCATCCCGTGACTATACGAGTCGAGATCAACTCGTTATTCTCATTTTGTACGACCGTCATTCCTCCCTTCTTCGTCACACACTGAACATGGCTGACCTAATTGCTATCAGAGATGGGGAAGATGATACCCGCATCTAACCATTTGATCACTTCCTTCTTCACCACCTCTTTCATATTCGGGTTCAGCCTTCGTTGATGTTCTCTGGAAGGTTTGTGCCCTTCTTCCAAGAGAATCTTGTGCATACAAAAAGCTGGGCTGATACCCTTTATATCTGCCATGGTCCAACCAATAGTAGTCTTACATTCTTGTAACACCTGTAGGAGTTGCTCCACCTGCACAACTAGCAAACCGGATGATATAATAACAGGTAAAGTAGAATTAGACCCTAAGAAAGCGTACCTGATATGCACTGGGAGCGGTTTCTGGTCCAACTATGGTGGCTCCTCTATCGATGGTTTCGCAGGTGGTGTTGTTCTTTCTTCTAAGTGTAGGGGCTCGAACTGGGGTTCCCTTTTCCAGAACGCTTGACCTTGAAGAGCCATGACCCACTCTGTCAACTCCTCACCATCTCCATTTTCCAGATTCATCAAGCAGGCTTCTAACGAATCCCTAACATTAATAGTCTCATCCTCCTCTTGTACTATTACATCTACGGCCTTCATTAGTGAGCAAAATTCGCCGGGTCTCCTCACAGATTGTTGAACATTGAATATTATCTCTTCATTGTTCAACCTCGTTTTCAATTCTCCAGTCTCACAATCAATCAATGCTCTCCCAGTGGCTAAAACGGCCTTCCCAGAATGATTGGTATCTCTTCATCCACTTGTTGACAATCAAGAATGACGAAGTCTGCAGGGAATACAAATTTCCCTACTTGAACAAGCACATCATCAAGAATTCCTATCAGTCTTTTGACTGTGCGATCAACTAGTTGCAACAACATTGAGGTCGTTCTAGCTCTGCCAATGCCCAGTTTTGTATAGATTGCCAAGGGCATCAAGTTTATACTGGATCCCAAGTCACAAAATGCTTTAGCAAAAGCATAACTCCCAATGGTGCATAGGATAATGAAACTACCTGGATCAGACACCTTTTGAGCCATAGGCCCTGTCACTACCGCGCTGCAGGACTGCGTCAGAGTTACAGTGGACCGGTCCTGGAAGTCAAATTTTCATGACATCAGGTCCTTCATCATTTTTGCATACCCTGGCATTTCCCTCAAAGCATCCATCAGTGGAATATTCAACTGAATTTGTTTGAGTATTTCCATGAATTTCCTATATTGATCATCTTTCTTTTGCTTTGCCAACCTCTGAGGCAATGGTGCAGGAATCAACCTCTGCCCACTGCTTTGTGTCTTTTCTTTGCTGGAAGCTTTTTTTACTACCTGTTCTGAGAGTTGTTCACCTTCCTTCTCTTTAACATTGTCAACATGTGCCTGCTCGATTACAACCTCGGTGAGCTCTGCTGACTCATCTGTCTCTAATGTAACTGGAACTGGAGTAGTTGGCGTTGTCTCTCTCCTAGATTGAGCAACTTCTTGCTCCCCGTCTAAATCTCTTCCATACCTAAGACTCACTGCCATGAGCTGATTTGGGTTCTGCTCCTTTGGATTAATGTTTGTATCTGCAGGCAACGTTCCTTGTGGGCGATTGTTCATGGCCATAGATAGTTGTCCCAATTGAGTTTCAATGCCTTTGATTGCTGAATCATGTGCAACTAACTTCTCTTGCATCTTTCCATTTGTCCCAATGAGTTGTTGCAACATACCCCTGATTTCGATCATGTTATTGTCTTGCTGTTGATGAGGTGGTTGGTAGGCCAACTGTGGTGTTGCTGATTATAGCCCTGCTGCCTCTGATAAGGCACGACTTGGCCTTGTGGTCGTGCTCCTCCTGGATTAGGGTTGTGTTGTGGCTGGTTTGGTCTGTACTGCTGGTTTGATGTTGGTCCCCATTGCTGTCCACATTGCCTCTGACCTCCGGAATTATTGACATAATTCATGTCTTCTCTGAAACCCTGGTTGTCATTCTCTCCACTCCATGAGCACACATATGACTGGTTTATGCAAGGAGTGCATAAGCCTCCATTTGTAGTATCAACAATGTGCACCTGTTCCGTACGCATCTCATCGATTTTCTTTGTTAGCAAGCTCATCTGGGTTATAAGAGTGGATATGTTTTCTGCATCTGTGTTGTTTGGGTCAAGAGCGATAGAATGCACTATTGGGGTGAGTGTTGTGTCTCTCGTCATCCAGCCTGAATTTTGAGACATCTTGTCAAGAAGAATCTTACACTCTGTGAATGTTTAGCTCAAGAATGAACTCCCGGCAGAAGCATCTACATTGGCCTTTAGACTGTCAGCCAAAACCATATAGAATCTCTGTCCTAGCATCTGATCCGGAATGCCATGGTGAGGACACTTCACCAACATACCCTTAAACCTCTCCCAGGTTTCTTGCAAACTCTCAGTCGGTTTCTGCCTGAATTGCAATATCTCATCAATTTGCCTCGCAGTTTTGTTGGGTGGATAAAACTTGTTTAAGAACTGGTTGACTAGTTCCTCCCAAGTGGCAATGGAGTTTATTGGGAGCGAATTTAGCCATGTTTGAGCCTCCCCAGTCACTGAGAATGAAAACAGTAATAATTTGATTACCTCAGGAGTCACATTCGGATGTCTTTCAGTGACACTTATTGATTAAAAGCTCTTCAGATGTTGCTGCGGTCTTCGATGTATGACCCGGAGAACAACCCTTTATTCTGCAACAGGTGCAGCATGTTGTTGGTAATCTAGAATGTCTCCGCTTGTATTTGAGGAACCGCAATTGCTGTGGCCAGGTTATCAGCAGTTGGTTGAACCCAATCATAAAGAGCAGCTTCCGGCACAAGAGGTGCTACCACTCTGACGTTTGGGTCATCTCGATCATTCCTGTTGTTCCCGTTGACGTTACCTACGTCACCCATTTCAATCTCAATTTGTTCGTTTTGTTTCAGCTGTTTGCTCTTCTTGTTAGCCGGTTCAATGTCCGAAATGTTTTCTCGGGATCTGAGAGTCCTTCAAAGAGTTCACCAGTTCTCAAAGAGCTTCTAGGCATGCACCTGAGACACAGAAGAGTTCAAACGTGAGAATTTCAATGGAAATATTTTTAGCACCACAGAAATTGATCTAAACTAATAATCCTAGCAATTATTCCAAGTTACAATAAATAACACTGTTAGTTCCCCGGCAACGGTGCCAAAATTTAATCACGCCCAACTATGCCTTATAAAAAGGACTAAGCAGTCGATGTAAGTATAATCCGGTTCAAGTACGGATTCGAATCCCACAGGGAACTAACCTATTTACTACAACTTTTAACACTGCTAATGAATAGCTCAAACAACCGCCGGGTGCAAGACTTTTAATGGATAATGAGTAGATTTAGTTAACTAAGGAAAAAGAACAATAAAACTAGCAATAATCTAGAATAGAGCTGAATTCAATGGTAAATGGTCTAGGGTTACTGATTTTCCCATTTGTCGGATTAATTCCTGACACCTTAGCTATAATCTCGCCAGTAACACTCTATAAGAAATATGAGTTCTGGGTTACCGCAATTATCTCTCGATCTATTACGATAATTAACTAGAAGCATTCTCTCGAACTACTCTAGCTAACAATTTATGCAACTCAGAATTATCCCACCAAAACTTCGTTATCTCTAACCCTGCTTTTAAATTCAAGTAATTAATCTCTTAACTTACCCGAAAGTGGTGTTGTTCAACAACAATCTAACCAAGTGTTCTTTCTCAAGCAACACAAGATAACTAGACACGATTAATCAAGGGCCATTTCAATTAATCACAAGACAACACGTAGTTGAACAATCATAGAGTAAAAACGGCTCAATTATATCAAAACAGGATCAAGACTTCATCCAACAATTGGTTCCATCAACCCTAGGTGGCGGGTTTAGCTACTCATGCTAATAGATAAAAATTCATTATATAAAGTCATAATCAACAATGGAATTAGAAGGAAGAAGATAAAAACTCTAAGGAAATTCTCTATCTTTCTTCCGTGTTCTTGCCTTCAAATTCTCTCTAAAAACAGCCCTCCCTCTCTTTTAGATAAATTAGGCTCATATAGGTTTAGGTTAATCGCCCTGAAAATTACATAATTGACCCTGGTTTCTTGGCTTCCGTCAGCCCGTCCGCAGCTGCGGATTGGACGGTGGATCTGACCGCGGATTTGGCACATGTTTTGTCCGCGGCCGCAAATCTGACCGCGAAGCTGACACTTGTTTTCTTTCTCCTTTTCGACCGTGCTATCCTCCGATTGGCCTTCCACGCTCCATATTAACTCCAAAACACTCTTTAGCTTCCTCCTAGCTCAGAGTGGTTCCTGCAAACCGAAAAACTCTTGATTAGAGCATTTTGTTATCTTTTAACATTCAAATATTGATAAAGTGCGACCAAATTAGAGTGTAAATAGTATCTAAATTGCATAATTATCGTCTACTATCATATTACTTTTAAAATTATAGAATCTCATCGTAGGCATGCACGATAAAAACACATTGTCTGATTGAAATGATACTCCAACTGAAGGGGGTATTAAAAATTTGATTGTCATATTAATATTTTGTCTAAAACATATCAAAAGTTAAAAAAAGCATTACTTTAATGGGAACTCTTTCAATTAATACTAACAATTCTACAACTTTGTAGATGTGCAGATGTATAATTCTCTACCAGATTTAAATGAAACTTCAATAATGGAAGGTAAGTATTTGAAATTCTCATTTGTTATTAGTTAAAAGTAAACTACAATATCAAGATTAATGAAAATTAACTAGTGCAACTCTCTTACTAGAAATCGAGGCTGCAATAAACAACACTGATATACAAGGTATATTTCTATGAGATTTTGATTCACCTTTAAATAATGACGTCTTAAGAGATGTGGCTATATGAATCTAAAGTTACTTAATTGAATATCTTCAAGAGAAATATTTTGGCATTATTTCAAATTCTAACATCGGGAATACATGGAGTATTTGTTTTCAGCATGATAATATACTAAGAAGTGAATTGGCTGTTGAAATTCGAATACAAACATAGAGCCAACACAGCGGAAATTAATCAAGAAACGTACCTTCAGCCATAGTTGTTCAAGTGATGTAGAATCGCCTTGTAAAACTTTGACAGAAAAACTAGGGAGCCTTCTAGCGTGTGCCTATCGTAGGATGTCAGACTGGTGGAGTCATAGGCATATTTATAGGTAGGCTAGGGACTCTTAGGCAAATACTTTAGCCCTAGGGACTTCTTCATAAATTATAATTACCCTAGGGACTCCTAATATATGGTAATTTCTTCCCATCAAAGAAACTACCATATATGCATAACTACATAATATTATCTGTTATATTATTTCCTTTGGGAGACAAGGTAAATAATTTATTACCTTATATGTGGGCCACACCAGAAGTCTCTGGAAGAGACTGTAATTTCTAACATTCTCCCACTTGGCCCACATATTAAAATCAAATAATTCTTTATGAGAGATAACATATAATATGGCCATAAACTTTATCACTCAACTAAAAGTTATGCAACAATCACTTTAACTAGAATATATTATTACACGAATCATGGCGGTCATGCTTTTAAACGAACACTTCCTTCCATGTATTACTATGCACAATATATTCTAACAAAGTGTCTAACAACTTTATGAATGAACTTAACATAAGTCATTCAGAGTCCAACTTTATTGATCCAATAATCACAAATAATACATGAAAAATCAAAGTGTGCATTGTCATGTATATCAAAATAAACATAATGTCAAGACAAACTGTTAGAGAGCAAAGCAAGACTAAATTGAGCTACTAAGCCCCATATGGGTTACATGATCCTTGAAAATATTAGCCGCCAGACCTTTAGTCATCGGATCAACAATCATCAAAATAGTACTAACATGCTCAAAATTCACATCTTGCTTCTTCACATAGTCTATAACCATTAAGTACTTTATGTCGATGTACTTGCTTCGACTGCCACTTTTTTATTGTTCTTAAAGAAGAACACTGAAGCTGAATTATCACATAAGATTCTCAATGGCCTTGAAATGGAATCGATAATCCTAAGGCCGGAAATAAAGTTTTTCAACCATAACGCCTATGATGTAGCTTCATAGCATGTTATAAATTTAGCTTCCATTGTGGATGTTGCAACAATGGTCTGTTTGACACTTCTCCAAGACACAACACCTCCAGTAAGAAGGAAAATGTATCCTGAAGTAGATTTACCAGTGTCTTTGCATCCACCCAAATCAGAGTCTGAATATCCAATCACCTCCAATGAGTCAGAGTATTTGTATGTGAGCTTAAAATCCTTGGTTCCTTGAAAATATCTCAAGACCCCAGGGTTACTTTGATATCTGCCAAACATTCCTACCGCAAAAGCAATATCAGGTCTAGTACAGACCTGTACATACATAAGGCTCCCAACAAGCGACGCATAGGGAATATCTTTCATTTGCTTCTTTTCCAATGCATTTTGTGGACATTGATTCAATGAGAATTTGTCACCTTTAATTATGGCTGCTGCTATAGGTGAATAGTTCTTCATCCCGAATCTTTCCAGAATTCTTTCAATGTAGGCCTTTTGAGACGGTCCAAGTAATCTTTGGGATTTGTCTCTATGAATCTCTATGCCAATGACATAAGAGGCTTCACCCATATCCTTCATCTCAAAATTCTGGATAAGGAACTGTTTAGTCTCGTGCAACAATCCCAAATCA